ATGATGAGACTAGGGCCACCCCAGGGTGGTACAGAATGTCACCTCCGTCTGTTCCGTCCCTCTGACATTCTTGAGTCTTCGTGGCTTGACTGTGGCGTGGCTACACTCTCTTAGCAGAATGTTGATGAGCAAAACTCCTCAAGCTAAAACACTCCAGAGAGATAGGAGGACATGCTTCTCTCACTCCCTCCTCTTCTTCCTTGACCCTTAAATTAATCATACCCAAAGAAAGAAGATATTGAAGAAAAAATCATGTAAGATGAGGGATGTGCAAAAGAAGAGTTGTTTGGAAATCGGAACCGACTAAAATCCGATCTGATGTCATTTTGGAATAGGATGCAAGCAGACTGAGTTATGCCCCGGCCCTGAGACTTAAGAAGCACAAAATAGTTCAAACATTTATTTTCTGACTTATTTAAAAGCGAGCAAACGCCACAGACACGAGGGTTTGTGCCAAATTCTATGAACAACCCTTTCTTCTCGACGAGCAGTGAGATGGTTGATGGATGGACAGTGTGTGCTCACTTTTAAAAACAAACAAACAAACAAAGGCAAATGCAAGGTAATAGTTTTGTAAATGGGAGAGGGGAAGTCTATAAACTATAAATACAGTTATTTTATTTTTTGTACATTTTTAAGAAGAAAAAAATAAATATTCCTAACATAAGAGTGAATGACTGCCTGGTGCTTTTTCAGAGGGAGCCCCACCTCCTCTTCTGGGGCCCATATCAAAGTTATGAGTGTATTCTTTCTTTTGGGGGAGTAAAGCCCTGTGTAGGTCTATAAGCCCTCTCTCTTCTATTTCTTCCTTCAAAGCCAATGTTTCCTTGCTGAGTTTTGTTCTTGTTGATCTATCTAGAGGTGATAAGGCGATGTTGACGTCTCCAGCTACTATTGCGTTGCTAGCAATGTCCTCCTTAAAATCTGTTAGCAGTTGTTTTAAATATTTAGCTGTTCCCTCCGGAGGGCTGGAGCGATAGCACAGCAGGTAAGGCATTTGCCTTACACGCGGCCACCAGGGCCAACCCGGGTTAGATTCCTCCGCCCCTCTTGGAGAGCCCGGCAAGCTACGGAGAGTATCTCGCCCACACAGCAAAACCTGGCAAGCTCCACGTGGCGTATTCAATATGCCAAAAAAACAGTAACAACAAGTCTCACAATCTGTTGTGAGACGTTACTGGTGCCTGCTCGAGCAATTTGATGAACAACAGGAGGACAGCTGTTCGCTCATAAGGTGCATATACATTTAAGAGTGTGATTTCTTCCTGTTGTATATGTCCCTTGATGAATAGAAAATGGCCTTCGCTGTCCCTTCTAATCTTTTTCAACCTGAAATTTATGTTATCGGATACTAGTATGGCTACCCCAGCTTTTTTGAGGGAGCTGTTTGCTTGGAGGATTGTTTTCCGTCCTTTCTCAAAGTTAAGTGTGAAGAAGGTAAATCCACAAAGCCTGACAGAACCCCTAGTTTCTTTTTTTTTTTCTTTTTTTTTGGGGGAGGGAGGGGGTCACACCTGACAATGCTCAGGAGTCACTCCTGGCTTTGCACTCATGAGTCACTTCTGGAGGTGCTCAGGGGACCATATGGGATGCTGGGAATCGAACCCGGGTCAGCCACGTGCAAGACAAAGGCAAACGCCCTACCCGCTGTGCTATTGCTCCAGCCTCACTTTTTTTTTTTTTTTTTTTTTTGCTTTTTGGGTCACACCCGGCGATGCACAGGAATTACTCCTGGCTCATGCACTCAGGAATTACTCCTGGCAGTGCTCAGGGCACCCTATGGGGTTCTGGGAATCGAACCCGGGTTGGCCGTGTGCAAGGCAAACACCCTAACCCGCTGTGCCATCGCTCCAGTCCCGACTCCCAGTTTCTTGACCTCAAAGTTCTCTGGTTGCTGGGGCAGAGGGGGGAGTGGGGGTGGGGGAAGAAGGCCCCAGGTCTGCAGCACTGAATTGTTAGATTGCCTGTCAAGGGAGTGGCCCCTGGGTGCTACTTTGGGAACCCGCCAGCCCCACCCCAAATGAGGAGTCCTCTGATTCCTTAGCTCAGCTGCACATCTTTTCTCGATGTGTTTGACTGGTGCCTCTAGAGAAGGATCGACCTGCCGCTGCCTGTGCTGCTGTTTCTCAGAAATTTGCTCTTGGGCCCCAGTAAGCTGCCCCGTAGGTTAGCTCTGGCGGTGGCACCTCAGAATGGTTTGCAGTCCCGTGGATTCCTGGGAGTGGGCACTGCCCAGGTCACCTGTGCTCAGCACTCTCAGGTAGAGAAACCTGCTTGGAATGAACTGGCCGGTGGTTCTGCCCTGGATCCGAGATGTTTCCCTTCACTGTAGCCTTTTAGGGGCGCCTGACCCTGCTGCCTGGAAGGACATGGGGCTCCGTGTTCTTCATTTCTCTACGAACAAAGGTGCAGCTCGGGATAAAGACAGGCGGGCAGGATCCCCGGGCAGGGCAGACGCACACTCGGAGCATCTCCGCGCTGCCCTCCTAGCCTTGGCCAAGAGCACTCAGACGCCCCCTTCACTGCACCATTGTGGGACCAGCTCTGCAAAGAGCAGTCCTGGACTAGGCAGGGTACTGGGCAGACTTCCTCAGGCCTGGGGGTGGGGGTGACAGGCCACTCGGGTTGGAAGTATCATTTTCCTCCCCGTGAAGGATCTGGAGTTATCAGTGCTTGGGGATTAGGGCCTTTGCTGCTCCTGGGAGACAGACTGTGAAGTAGCCAAAGGGTCCCCTCCAGACCCACGCAATCCTGCACCAGGTCCTGCCAGCCCAGGGGCTTCCATGCCAGTCTGCTTGGGAGTAGCCGCTTTTGTACGTGAGTGGCCGCTGTGCTGGCATTGGGACTGTGACCGCCACAAACAGGGTAGGAACAGATTTGCAGGAGGGTGACTCTGGGTCTCACTAAAGCCTTCTCTGGACCCAGAGGGGAGAGTAGCGGATGAATTCTGAAGAGGCAGCTGCCTCAGTTTCCCTTTCCACTACACTGGCGTCAGGTGGACAGTTGGCTCCTTTGGCTGAGGGGGAGGAGAACGGGGACCACAGAGGGAGGGAAGCGAAGATCTCCAATGCTCTGGGATGGAGCATGGGGCCCAGCAGCCTCTCCACATCCCCCAAACCCCAATTCCTGGGCTCCTGGCGCAGGAATCCTACCAAAGACGTGCCAGCATCAGCCCTGGGCTCTCAGTCAGGCATGCACCCCACTGAGCATGGGGACAGTCACACTCACTGGAACGACCGCTGCGCGACAGCAAGGGTCAGGAAGCAGGGCCACTTGATAAACCAGTGGGTTATTTCATCCGCCCAGGGGAGACACAGGCCCAGTGCCCCCATGCCCTCCTCCCAACCCCACCACATACATACACAGAGGCACCAACAGTCAGCCACTCGGAATCTTCCTTCAAGTCATAAGTCACTTTATTCCAGTCCCTCAAGCCTCGCAGGCCAGCCTAACTGCAGAACAGACATTTCCAGAGGCCCCGCAGAGCCCAACACAGCCATGACCTCAGTCATGAGGCATTCGGCCTGCTGGGGGCCACAGTATCCCTCTGGCCAGACTTGGGTGCACGGGTGAGACACACAAAGGCTCCCTGCAAAAGAGAGGGGAAAAACAGCCTCCAGGGAACACAGACGGGTCACAGACGGGCCAGGACGGGGCTGTTTTCCCCGCTCCCAGAGGTGGAATTCAATAGCGTCTGGTGGTTTCCTCCCTGGCTGTCAAGACCATCTCTCCGACCCTCACTCCGGCTCCAGGTTCTGGGGGATGAGACAGTGTGACTCAATGGTTGTCACGAGTCAGGGGCACCCTGGTTTCTCTGATGCTGCCCACCCTCATCTTCTCAGGAGATCCAGGGTAGAATTGGTCTTCAAGAGCAAGGGACAAGTGGGGTGCATTTTTAAAGGGGGCGATGAACAGGGTTTAATCCTGGCTCTGCATTCAGGAATTACTCCTGGCGATGCTCAGGGGACCATATGGGATGCTGGGAATCGAACCCGGGTCGGCCGTGTGCAAGGCAAACACCCTACTCGCTGTACTATCACTTCAGCCCTGGGGTGCATTTTCTGAGCAATGGAATATGTTGGGCCCCTTCCCCACCCGACATTGCATGCCATGGGGTCAATTCTCAATTTTTCCAAACCTGAATTTACCCCATGGTCGGTGGAAGAAGCTGGAATGTCACTGGAGAGAAGCACTCTGTGAGCAGGTCCTGGAAGGAAGTGTGAGGTCACTGGAGCCCAGGTCCAGCCTGTGGAGCTGATGTCGGGGTCCACTGCCTGTCGAGACGAACTCCTGAGACTCAGGAATTGGCAGCTAAAGGGGGTCCAGGTGGCGTCGCTTTCTAGTCCCAGTTCACAGGCAGGGGCTGAGCAGCGAGCCCCCAGCTGCCAGGGGACCCCGCTGCTTCTCTGCACCAGGTTCACTCCATCGAACCCCAGAGTGTCCATGCAGATGCTGAGTGCTCGACGGGGTTTTCCTGGGACCCAGTGATGCTTTGTCACTCTCTGTTTAGATTTTGTGTACAGCCACCGGACCAAACCGCAACTCAAGCTGCCCCTTCTGGAAGCAGGAGCTGACATCCAGGGAACACTGTGGCAGGGGATGGGGGAGCCCCTCTGGTGTCCCCCATGGCGGAGCTGGGAGCCAGTCTCCATCACGGCCAGTCGTACGATCGCCCAGCGTGGCAACTCTGAGTGGCATCTGGGGGGCTTGGAAAGTCAGCAGGAATAGGTGGAGGGGACCCTTGGTGGAGTAGAGGACACCCTTGGTGAGATCATGGGCATGGCTTTGTGTTTTCCACAGCTTGATAAGGGGATAGGCTGGAAAAAGCACCGTCTCTGGACTGGTGCCGCCTGGTCCCTCAACACTGGTGGTGGGCACCCCCCCCCATTGATGCCAACCTCCCTGGAGCTACCAGAAACTGCTCCATGCCAGCCCACCCTGCTCCACTCCCAGGGGCCAGCTGCTCTGGAAAAGGCTTCAAACTTCAGGCAGGGCCCTAGTCCACATTCCTTTGTACATTTATTTTTCTGGAATATATAAAATATACCTGTTGATGGGTGCATTTGTGCAAAGACATGTAGGACTTTAAAAGACAACAGACATTCATTGTAGCCAGCTTACTTCACAATAAGCTACGAAATACAGTCTTGGGAGAAGATTGTATTAGTGCCACTAAACATGCATTTCATTGGAACAAGGCAAAAACACTTCATCTGTCTGCAATACCCAAATATTGTATATACAACAGTCTTATTTTTTCCTTCTTCTTTTAATCACAAGAGGCAGCACGATGGATCTGGTTCTGGAATTGCAAGTTACCATGTATGTCCAATTTTCCAAACAATTCCTCTTAGCTCCACTAGTGTAAGCCTAGAGAAAGAACCATTGTCTTCCATTCCTCCTTGAATCGACCTCGAAATGTTCACAGCTTAGAAACTAGGGGCATGGGCAGAAGGTGGGCTGGCTCTGCGGGGACGGAGCACCCTCCCCATGCGACACTGCTCACCATGGGGTCAATTCCCTATTTTCCAACCCCAAGTTTGCCCCCATAGCCAGTGGAAGAATCTAGAAAGTCACTGTAGAGAACTGCCGTCCAGAGCCCCCCAGAGTATGACTCTGAGGGGAAACTTGTCCTTCTGGCACCAGGTGTGGGTGCCAGCTCCCCGCAGCATGCGTGAACCCACATCTGGTTTCTCTAGGGAGTGACCCCCCAAATAAAAACCACCCTTAGTATCACCAGATCAGTTCTCTTCTCTGGCCTCCCAGAGTCTTGGGTTTTGGGGAACAGAGAGACACTAGAATCCAAAGGGAAAGAACTCTAACAAGGAGAAATGGCCAGGAGAGGCAAACCACGAGGTCTGGGCACGGTCCATGCTCCCCACGAGCGCGCTGGGGTGACGGGCATTCCCACGAAGCGACCACCACGGAAGCAGCGGCGGGGGGCGCGCAGGCGGCACCCGGGGAGGGGGCAGGGGCAGCATCACCAACAAGGTCGTTTGGCAAAACGGAACTGAACTTTGAACGAGAGAGATCAGAGGGAACCACAAGCAGAGGATGACGGGGCGCGGGGCGCGGGGCTCAGAACTGGCCGGCGCTGCTGGGGTCGCACTGCAGCAGGCGCACGATGGACGGGTCGCTCTTGGCCCCGCGGATAAACTCCTCCAGCGACAGCTTCCCTGCAAGGCAAGAGCGCAGGTGAGCGGGCTTGTTGCGGGCGCGCAGAGCAGCCCGGTCCCACTCTCCCGCCAACACCTGGGAGGGGTACACTGGGGTTTGGAGGATGCACTGCCCCTGCCTCAGCAGGCATAGCAGAGATGGCCTGCTCAAGTTCCTCCTGCATGGGGGACGTACACTGTGTTCTGGGGGGAGGGTCCCCTTTTTCTTGGACAATGTGCCAGGACTGTGGCCTCTCCACCCCAGGGAAAAAGGAATTCAGGGCAATGTGCACAAAACGGGATGGCCGTCCTGCCCCTACTTCTCAGGGGACTTCCTGCCCTGCCTGGCTGGAGGAGGGACCCCTTGTTCCCTGCCCTGACCTCTGGGACTGGGGCCTGGGACCCAATCCAGGAACTTCCTGCCGCACTCCTGCGGGGTTAAGGTCTGTGTCCGTTTCCAGAAAGGCACAGGTGCTGGGACTGGGGGGTGCTGGGCATCTTGGCCATCCTTTCCGCAGGGCTCACCAGCTCCCCCCAGAGCTCACCTGCCTCGGGGGTGTCCTCAGACTCATCTGCTATGAGCAGAGGACTGACTCTTGGGGTTCTCACCCCCAACTCAGAGGTGCCACCTAGACGCTTTCGCCACCCCCCCACCCACATTCTCCCACCCCAGGTCTCTCCTCTGAACCTATTTGTGTCAAACCCATTTCCTAGGCAGAGGGAAGAGGATGTTGATGGGGCCTCAGGGAGCGGGGAGGGAGCTGCTCTGGATCTTGGGGTCTCCCAGCAGTGGATATTGGAGGCTAGAAGCAGCCCCACCTCACCTTCACCCTTACATCCTCCATGGGCATTTGGTGTCCTGGCCTGAAGGGATCTGAGGCCTGGCTCAGCCTTGGGATTCAGAGGCGAAGTCCTGAGCCGAAGCCCCCAGACTGCTTGCTGTGTTACTGCTCTCAGAAATAAAGTTCCTCTGTGCTGAAGAGCTTGCACACCCCCCCCCCAAACTTCCACTCCCCCTTCTGTCCTCTAAGGAAGCAGAGAGCTTCATGGGGGAGTGCGGTTGAGTTCAGGAATGCTGACCCCTCTGGACTCTGGGTCAGCTCAAGCAGAGCCAAGCAGAGACCCGCATTCCTCACTACAGTTCAGCTCAATCAATGGACTCGCCTGGTGTCTGGCTTCTACTTCTGGCCAACAGCCCATACAGCTGGGGTGGGTGGGCATGACCTCTGCTCCCCAGAGCACCAGCAAATGCATGCTGGAGATGCAGGGGACACAGGGCAGATGATTCTGAGCTTTGCTGAGCACTTGAAACTCTCATTGGGGCAGCCAGAGTCGGCAAATATACAGCATAAGCTCTGAAGACGACTGTGTGTGTGTGTGTGTGTATGTGTGTGTGCGCGCTGAACCTGCCTAGCCCACCAAATGGTTTCCACCCCCCATCTTATAAGTAGAATCTAAATATTGCATTGGCATATTTGTACCAAAGCATTACTTGCCATTTTCCCAAATAGCAAATTATTGCAACGTTGATTGGGCCTTCTGTACTCTATCTGGTAACACAACCTCTAAAATCCACTTGAATTTGAACTCCAGACCTCTGTGCTCTGAGTTGCTGCACATCTTCTTGTGGGGTTTGAGTTGAGGCATCTCAGGGTAGCGCTTACAGAGCATGCGCAGGAGGTCAAACACCTCCAGACATGTGCAGACCAAGCTCCGACCCTTCCTGGTACCTGGAGTTTGGGTTCTAGGTGGGCTGTGGTTCTCGCTGCCTGATCCTCCTCCATCCACCCAGGTCAGGGTGATCCACCTTCACAAAGGACCTTGGGCCACAGCCTGGGGCCACTATCTTGTCTTCCTGGACAATCCCCAGCCCTTCCAGCAGTCCCCGTTCTGAGCAGAGCAAAGCAACTTGGGGGCTCCTACCATCTCTGTTGGTGTCCATCTGGCGGAAGATCTTTTCTGTCCTTTTCTCTGGGGTTGACTCATCTTCAGGCATTTTCATGACTGAGGAAACCATCTTATAGATCGCCTGGGGGAAACATGGCCATAAAACATAATCAGGCAGTAAGACAGAAACGGTTTTCTCCAGAGCAAGGCGGCAATTTTATGAAACTTTCCAAAGGGTTGTCCGTGTACAGATGCACTGTCATCAGTGGGGCAGCCTCATCCCTTCTCTTGCTGTGACTTTGGCAGGAACCTACTCTAGACTGTGTCTCACACACTTCTTTCCTCTGTGCCAGGCCTCGAAGCCCCGACTTCATACACACACCACGTCTCACACTTGAAGGCCCAGGAATCTCCCAAGAACCTTATAAAAACAGCACAGTTGGTTGAGTAGGGTCTGGCTGGTACAACAGAAATTCTGCATTTCTAGTTAGTTCTTGAACTCCTGCTACTGCCCTCATTGCCCCAGCCCCACCCTAAGTTCTGGGAACAAGATCACAGATGACATTCTTCAAGCCAGAGGCTGAGAGTTGCGGGCTCCAGTGGCATCTTTCAAGGGACCCGAGTCACTGGACTGGCTCAGGCCTGGGACTTCCCCAGGCAGACATCACCAATCCATCCCAGCATGCTTCCCTTGGAGGCAGAATCGGCTCATTTCCTTCTCAGTCAGCAGGGTCCCTCAGATGGAAAAGGAGCTGTCACCTGAGTTGGGTTTAATAATCAGGCAATCTCAGACTTGTGATAAACTGGGACCTTTGAAGTCGTGTTCCAGATTTGTCCTACAAAGGTTTTGCAAGTGGCCCTGGAATGCCCACTCCCACTCACCCAACCTCTATATCCCCCTGTGCCCAACTACACCCTCGCTACACTTGTAAGAGCTGGAACCCTCAGTCACCTCCTGGTTCCATTTGGGAAGAAGAATGTGAAGTCCTTGTTTTTTTCTTGGTTTTGGTTTTTTTTTTTTTTTTTGTCACACCCGGCGATGCACAGGGGTTACTCCTAGCTCTGCACTCAGGAATTACTCCTGGAGGTGCTCAGGGGACCATATAGGATGCTGAGACTCAAACCTGGATTGGCCCCGTGCCAGGCAACTGCCCTACCTGCTGTGCTATTGCTCCAGCCCTATGAAGTCCTTGTTTTTATCCACAGACCATGGCTTTGCTAATGAAATTCATTCGGGAAATGTAGAAGCTTTTAGACAAAGTCCAGAGTATGGGCAGAAAATACTGGAAAATTCTGGAGCTGCAGATGCAAGGGTAGAGGTGGGAGCGGTGAGCAGCTGAGGGAAAGCATCTCCAAATAGGAAATGAGGGAGCAAAACTTGACAGGAAAGGCTGAACTTCTCTGTTTTGGAGCCTCCCCAAATCCCTGAAATATCCTCCAGAAAGTGGTGGACAGGTAAAAATATTCTAATCTCAGTAGATACATTAGGACCCACTGACCCAGGACCTCCAGACTTGCTTCCCTGCAACTTCTAGTGGGGGAGTGGGAGTTGGACCATCTGGGTTCTGGGAGTGGCGGGGGACACGTGTGCCTGTGTACAGTGCTGGCACAGTGCCTGGATTTCCCCAAGAAAACCTCACTGAAGCCAGAGACAAGCATTTGTCCTTTTCCTCCTGGACCCCAGCATCATATCCCCGATAGCCCTGATCTGGCCACTGGGGGCAAATGGCTCCTCAAGGAGAGCTGGCAAAGGCCACAAGGCACTCCTCACACCTGGGGAAGCAGGTGATGCAAGTAACTAAAGAGTACTTTAGGCCCCAAGGACATGCAGTGACAGAAGGGGACACTGGGTCATCTTGGCATCTCAGTGGCCTCTCCTGGGCTTTCTCGGCAACTCCATAGAAGCTCTCCAGGAACTCCTTCCTCACCAGGTCCAAGAGCAGGCAGCGGCACCCATGATGAATACACAAGCATAGGTGCACACATGTACACCCATGCACATGTGCACACACATGTACACACATCTCATACAGATTTCAAGCTTAACTGTAACTCTCTTGTGAATTCACAGATCAAGTAATCTCAGAGCCACAGGAGAGAGTGTGGAAATCAGCCTGGGGAAACATGAGAAGCACAGAGTTCAAAGGGGTGGGAGACAGAGGGAAACACTTCCATAGATGCCCAAGGTGGGGGTGGCAGGAAGGCTGGGAGAGGGCAGGTAGGTGCCCACTTGTACAGCAGATCGTACACTCCACAGGAAGGAATTTGTCCCTCAAAGAATCACCAAGAAGTGGAAGGGAGGCTCAATTTGCTTTCTCTATTCAGCCGATTTCCCCAGTCCACTTCCATACCCTGACATGCAGATGGTGGTGCTTAGAGAATTAAAGTTGGTCATTCATAACATACACAGACATATTTGTTGTTTGCAGTGTGAGAGATGGTAGGGGTGTAATTATCCCCATGCAGAATTCTCTTCTTGGTAGGGGTATTTGGGTCCAGACCTGGCAGTGCGGAGGGCTTACTCCTGGCTCAGCTCTCAAGGGTCACTCCTGGCGGGTGTTCAGGGGAGCATAATGTGGACTGGGGGTTGAATTGGGGTTGGCCAAATGCAAGGAAGTGCCTTAACCTCTGTACTTTCTCCCTGGCCCCTAGAAGTTCTTTTTTATGGAGTATTTCACCTGTTCTCCTGTGAGGGGCTTGGGAGGGGACCTTACAGGGAACCCAAAGCATCCCTGTTTACTGAGCACTGTTGAGATGGGAGTAATGACTCCAGTGATGCTGCCATCATTGTTGGGGACATCCTTCACCTTAGATGCTCCCTGGGTCCCCCGGTGAGAAGTGAAACCCAGAGGCTCCGGTGCCCCTTGAACTCCAGGCGTTCAGGGCTCATCAAGGTCTGTTGGGGGATTTGGATGGAAAGCCAAACTGAGTGAATGCGGAGAGTCTCACAGTTCAAGAACCAAAGATCCAACAAACAGATGGATGCGGGGTGGAAGACCAGTGCTTCATTCTCAACTGGAAGATTTGGAAAAATTTTACTCTTTAGTTACTCAAGTTATAGGAACAGAGTTGAGTGGGAAAAAAATGAGGACAGGCTCACACAAAACACCCAAGAGAGGAGCCAAAGAGAGAGCACAGCGGGTAAGGTGCTTGCCTTGCATGAAGCCGACCTGGGTTCAATCCCCAACACCCCATATGGTCCCCCAAGCACTGCTCAGGAATGATCCCTGAGTGCAGTGCCAAAAGCCTTGAGCAAAAGCAGAAAAAAAAAAACAAGAAACAACCAAATGCCCAACCGAAGCAACACATCCTAAAGGCACAGCATCAACCCAACGTTCTACAATGGGACCTATGAGTGGCTGTGTGGCTGGCGGGACTCCAGGGAGCCCAGGGCTGTGGGAACAAGCTCCGTCTCCTCTTCGTGGCCCCTGCGTCGCCCTCAGCTGAGCTGGCTTTCTCACGCTCTTTCTTTCTGAATGTGCAATCAGCTCCAGCTGGAAAGAGAGACGAAGACCCCACCACAAAACCCAGTCTGTGCTCTGTGGGGGCCTCCAGAGCCGTGAGCCATGAGCTATGTGATGAGTCCCTGCCATCTGCACCCCCAGTGCACCAACGCACCCCCCTGTCTGTGATGACACAGAACCAGCCCTGGGGGACTGTCTGTCTGTGTCTGTTTCCTTTCCATAGCAGCACAGCCCCCGTGGCCGCCTGGTCGCATCTCAAAATCTAAATGCAGGCTCCAGAGCCCGGGAGAGAAAACACCAGCCCAGCAGGCAATTGGAAACAGCTCTGGGCTTTTCTTAGCTCCAGCTTCCCCGCAAATATAATGGGATTAGACCCCCACCGAAGAGGCCAGGCTCTGGGAGACTATTTTTAGCTATATCAGTGAGGGACACCAGGGACATCCTGTTTTTAATTAGACTGGACAGTCCCTGTTTGTGTCTCCGGGTGCAGGCAGAGCAGGGGACACCCAGGAGCTGGCTCTGTGGACAGGGAAAGTGTGGGTCAGTTTCTGACCTGGGCCCAGCAATCTAACCAGCTTTCCCAGGAAGAAGCCAGACTCACTGTCAGAGGCTAGGTGTAGGGGAGCGGGTCCCAACAGGACAGTCGAACCCCCTCCCTGCCACTTGTGGACGTCTGTCGTCTGATGCTCCAGCCCGTTCTGAGGCCGCTGCCACAGGGGATGGAGGGTGAGACACCCTGAACGTCTTTCTTGGAAGCACTTAAAAAAAATTTAATTGATTTTTCTGGCTAAGACTAAAAGACAGCTAAAGTGAATGGGAGAAAATATTTGCGGTCAACACATCAGATAAAGGGTTGATGTCCCAGATATATAAAGCACTCACAAAGGTCAGCAGCAACAACAAAAAATTCAGAAACTCTCTCAGAAAACGGGGAGAGGAAACGAACAGACACTTCACTGAGGAAGACCAATGGATGGCCAACAAGCACATGGAAAAATGCTCATCGTCACTTACTATTAGGGAAATGCAAATCAAGACAACAGTGAGATATCTCACGCCAACGAGAATGGCACCTATCAAAAATACTGGGAACAATCTGATGCGGTGAAAAAGAAACTCTCATCCACCGCTGGAGGGAAGTTGTCTGTCCAAGTTGTCTGGTTCAACCCCTAAGGAAAACAGTATGGAGAGTTCTCAGTAAACTTAAAATTGAACTGCCATAGAGCCCAGCAGTTTCATTTTTGGGTGTCTACCCTCAGGAGAGAAACATTCATTCCAAAGAACATGTGCATATCATTATTCATGGCAGCACTCAGAATGTGGCTAAGATTTGGAATCAACCTAGATCAGTGAATCATGAAGATGAGGTACAGATACACAATGGAATACTATACAGTTGCAAGTAATGACGAATCATGCAATTTGCTGTGACATGGACAGAACTGAAAACATCCTGCTTAATGAAGCAAGCCAGAAGAAGGATGAACACAGGATGCCATCACTTACACACGAGTATTTAGAGTAGGTCTGTAGAGCAGGATGAGGATGAGGAAACACAATGGTTTAAGGGGCAAGGGTGGGGGAATGCCTAGATCACCCTTGACCCAGCATACAGGGAGGAGAAGGAAAGAAATAAAGTGAAGGGGAAAGCAAGAAGAGATGGGTGAGGAGCAATGGG